ATTCAAAAAGCTACCCAACTCCCATTTGCATCATCGCACGCGCTACAACACAGACAATGACACAACAGCCACTTCAGGCGGCCTCCATGCGGTGCGTCTGTTCGTCTCTCGATCATATTTCGCCCCCCCCTCCTTTTGCACGTCCCACAATTGAGCTACAGAAATTGGGTTGTTGTCATGTTTACGTGATTTATCGTGTTGTTGTGGTTGGTAAGGTTATATCAGTATGGTGGTTGTTATTATTACTTTGCTATTGAACGCTGAAAAATTCTACAAGCAAGCCATGTGCGCATGTGTGTCTGTGGCTCAGCACCTGTGTTAGATAGTGATTCTTGCTTTGGGTTAATCTCATCAGACATTTGAGCGCCGCTACCGCCAAGCAGGTCTCTGCGGCCCCAATTTCACTTGCGGCGCTTGCAGTTTTACTGCTTACACATGTACTCGTAGCACCTTCCACGCTCTATTCTACACGCTTTACAACTCACGCTATACAATTGAGAGCATTCGGGGCGTAGAGGCCTCTAATGTGAAGCGAAACTTTATTATATATATACTTACATAGTATTACTACACCCGCTAAGTGAAGGAAAGGTGCACTGGCGTACAGTGGGTTAAGTAGAATGACTACTGCGGTAGAAAATGAGTATGATTTGTATAGAATTTGTTTTGGTTAGTTGCTGGCACTGCATTTTATCACCTCTCAGCATTCGTTTTTTATAATAGGATGAAATATTATGAAAGTGCTAATAGGATCTACAATTGAGACGCTTTGCGATATGACTTACTTACAACATTTTGCATGAGTTGATTTTGTGATAGTGAGTTAAGTTAGTATCCGACTACATTTCATAGGGTTATAAGGGTTATATCCATATTCCACGTATCCTATTTACTAAAATAAAAGAAAGATTAATTTACAACATTAAATGTGCTTTTCTATTCAAAATTAACTTAAAAATGTTGGATTACTTAATCGCATACCGATCTCATAGACGACCTCGGAAAAAGTGCCAGGTAAAACATTTTTATTACATGATGCATGCAGGTAATGTATCAAGCACTAGTCAAAATTTAGATGTGTGACATAAGTCTTCCTCAGATAATAAATCAGAAAAATTAAATTTCTAGTAAAGAGATAGATGATCCAATTGTAGGCACTATTTAGATGAAGGTTTAATTCCAAAATACTATTAAATTAATATTCCTTAGTTCAATATGGCAACGTTCTTCACAGTTAGTTTTACAAATATCATTTACTTAAAGTATTATCGAAAGCTCTCCATGGAGCTTTATGATTACTCAAGGCATATTTTGAAACATGTTTCTCAGTTTGCTCTCGCATATAGCTGACAATCCTATTTTAATATATTTATACTCGTGCAACATACTGCTACAGAGCATAATAGTTTTTTTCAATTAATAATTTCCAGTTAGCTTTTGGGGTCGGTCCGGTGGCGACCAACATAATATTTGCGCAATAGTGACATTTTTGGCTATATTTAATAGCTTCTCTCTCATTTCACTCTTAATTTCAATTATTCGCCCCACTGTGCCTTTGGTAGTGTAAATCCGTCGTCAAGTTCCATTTCACTTTGTCCGTGTTTCGCGTATTTTGTTGTTTCATGCGCGCACGAACCGAATTATTTATTGTTTATTATTATTATTATCACTGCTACCTATTAGTGCTTATTTTGTTATTGTTGTTGTTGCTGTGAGTGTTCTCCTTTCGGGTATTATTTATTTATTTTGCATGACAACAAATGCTCTCCAATGCCTGGCAATCACCAACACGCAACAATAAAGGTATCATCAGCTAAAACAACAAACCAAATAACAACAACAAGTGATTGCATTAAATCCGCTATCAACTTACTTTTAGTTACGGTTGACAATCGGCAGCCAAACAAAGCGAACACGGCTGTTTGACATGGTGGAGAAGGAGAGGGTGGTGGCGGTCAACAAAATTGTTGAGAGAGCAGTGCAAATGTTTTATTGCATTTTCGTTTGTTACTCGCAGTTCGTGGCGACTTGTCAAATGCGTCGTCAGTTAGTCAGTGACTTTGTCATGCCGTCAGCGCCTCAGTCGACGCGTCAAAAAGCGTTTCTGCAGCGGCGCGTTTTTCAGTGAGCCGCCCAAGAAGACGGCCGCACGGACTGACAGCTAGTCAGCTGGCAAGAAGTAGGTAAGCAAGTGCTGCTAGCCACAAGTTGGCGCGGCCCAGCAGTCGCTCAGTAACTTCAGTCGGTTCAGTTGGGCGACCCAAGCCGCAATCGTAAAGCGCAATCGAAGTAATCGAGTTCAGCCGAATTGAAGCGAAATTAGCGCCGCTAAGAATTCTGCGAAAAAATAGTGAAGCATAGCTAAAGAAAGCGCAAATCGGAAAGTTCTAAGTGAAAGTGAAGTGCGTTTAATTTAACGGTAATAATAAAGTTTATCACTGAAACATAAAAATCAAGTGGAAAGCGCCTCTGGCAAGATCTATAGCGCGATCAGTAAGTGTTATAGTGTGCAGTTCAGTGTTTGCCGTCAGCTCGAAAGCTCCCTGGCAGTGTTGTCCTTGTGCGTCTTGCCCCTAAATGCTGTTTTGTTTGTGTCGGCGAGTGCATTTCTTATCCTCTCCGCCGTGTGTTTCTATTCACATTCACCGCTCGTCCCATTTTCACATGTAATGGGACTTTCGTGTCCAATGCACATTCGATCCATCATCTCTTCCGTCCACCTGTTAGTCGTGTGTGTCTCTTGTGTGCGCCTCAATGTTTACCTGCTGTCAGGGCCGCTTTAATGGCGGTGTTTTATTTCATCGACTTTTTGTGTTGATTTCAACAGTTTGCAGTGGCTTCGTCATGGCTCTAAGGCGTATGGATTCATTCAAACGATTTATGGATCGGATTCGGAATTGGGTAAGAGAAGAAAAGATTGTAGGAAAAAATGTTTGAGTTAATAATTATATGCAACTGAGTATTAAATAATATTTCTACAGTGGATGCTAAAAATAAACTGTTATGTGTATACTCCTTTGCAGCACCATCGCTAAGCAGAAGTTTTATGCAAAACTAAAAGGAAAATTTAGTAAAAAATTATTATTTTCAGAAATATTTAAGAGTTGTTCATAAAGTCAAAACTACAAATTGGGATTTGTAATAAATAACAAATAATATAGGAAACCATAAAATTGAAAATATTAATTTTACGATACTAAGACTTAAAAATAATGTTCTTTTAATACTGATTTATTATAAAAAATATCTTGAAAATACACAATTTTTATACTCTCGCAACCTGTTGCTACAGAGTATATCAGTTTGTTCTACCTAACGGTTGTTTGTATACCTAAACTAATCGAGTTAGATATAGGGTTATATATATATAAATGATCAGGATGAAGAGACGAGAAATCCGGTGATGTTCAATCCGTTCTCTGTCTGTCCGTCTGATCCCTGCTGTCCAAATCCGTCCGTGCAAGTTCTCAACTTAGTAAAATTGCTTGATATCTTTATGAAACTGGCAGACATGTTCTCTACTGGTGAGACGGTTGGATTGCAGATGGCGAATAATCGGACCACTGCCACGCCCACAAAACCCTTAGTCAAAACAAATAACTGGCACTTATAACTAAGCTCGCCAATAACGAATACAAAGACTGTTATTTGGCACACAGGTCTCATAGGGAGAAAGTGCATCTGCAGTTAAAACTTTTTAAAAGTGGCGTGGTCCCGCCCTCTATAGAGTTTAATCATATCTCCTAAACGCAATGCTAATAACAAATTGCCTGAAGCAATTTTTAGCACTTTATTGACGGTGTGAAAATAGTTGAAACCGGTGTAGACTCCGCCCACTCATATAAACGGTACTGTTAAAAACTACTAAGCGGTAATTAACCTCAGCACTAAATTACCTGAGATGGTATTAGATGACTTTATAGAGACCGCGTTCAAAATTATGACAGTGGGCGTGGCAAATCCACTTTGGGTGAAACCCATATCTTGGATCTTTAACCGATTTCAACCAAATTCGGTGCATAACGTTTTCATGTTTTGCGTCATAGTGCAATGCATGGAAATCGGACTACAACCACGCCTACTTCCATGTAAACACCATTTTCAATTCCATCTGATTTCTTCTTACCACTGCAAATTCAGGCAACAATGACTGTATCGGATAAAACTTTGCGTGAATAATATTTAAGTATGCCACCTTGTGGCCAAAATTGTCTCAAGAACACGTCGCTCTTAAGCCTAGTACTAAATATGTGACTCCCAGTGCCATAGTTGACCTTCTACGAAAATATCAGCAATCCACAAAAAATCTCAAACGAGTGATTATACCATTTTGACTTTGCGGAGTATAAAATGTTCGGTTACATCCGAACTTAGGCCCTTCCTGTTTGTTTTGTATGATTTCAATATTGTAAGTTTCCTTTCAGTAAGAAATTGCTCTAGAAATGGAAAAGAGTGAAGGAATTAGATTATTGGTTGAAATTATGACACTAGAGTTTTCCTACATTAATTGTTGAACATACTATTTAAAAATGTTTCTGTGCTACCTGATATTTCAAACGGTTCCACAAACTGAAAAGTGTTGCCTGCATTTAGGCTGAATATAGAAATTTTATGTATGGTATAGAGCATATTTGAAACTTCTTGACCGGGAATTTTGCATATGAAGAACATCCAGTAAGTCACGGCTACTGAAACTCCAATTCTTGAAAGAATTAGAGCCGAAACTAACACATACACACTCTGGAAGTCATAAGGCTTTGTGAGAAAGGGATGAACGATCACACGTACACAAGAGTTTCGGTTAGAATTGTCAATTGACCCTGAGGAAACTATTAGGAATTTTAACAGAAACCTTTGGTAGCGCTGTTGGGTAGTTAATCGGTGATTTAACCGATAGGTAGCTTGCAGGAAAAGTTTATGACGTGAAGATATTACTAAAGATATTTTTGGATATTGCAAATATAAAATATATATATATTATAAATATCTGCAACAAACGTGGTAATTATCACTAATATCAACATATTTAGAACCCAGTTCATAAAATTCAAATTTAGAAGTTTTAACGGAGTTGGAGTCGAATTAGGCGAACAAAAATTTTTTTTAATTATTTATACATATATATTTATATCCAAGCACATTAAAGCACACAAGATTAATTTCACTTCCGTGAGAAACTTGCTAGACTAACCTTTCCTGCTCTAATTATATTCAATTATAGCTTATCAATCGATATGTGGTTTAACAACAAAACGCTATAAAATTTATAGGTTTTAGGACAGCCGTTGTTTTATTCGAAATTGGAAGCACTTTTTTTATTTTCATTTTGTCTTAATTGCCTAATGGCAATTTTAACACATTTCCTAACACCGAATCGAATAGACGGTTGAACATGATGTAAAGATTGTACATGTATGTAAAGGCATGCATGTAGTACATTATTTTGTTGTTGTAATGCGGCGCCTACTGCATTAGTCGTGTGATTGCAATATTAAGCTTTGCTGTTAACTAAATCATACAATTTGTTTGCTGTTTTATAAATTGGAGCATGTTGAAGTAACACATACATAAGATGTATGTACAAGTTTATATATAAACTAAAGAAACTCTGGTATTCATTGGAGATATTGTGAATATTGAAATAAAAGTGTATATGCTTGTGCGCTTGCACAACCAGAAAGTTGTTGGAATCGTTAATGAGGTAAAATTGTAGGCCTCTGGTGTGTAAGTTTCAAACTCGTTGCTTTCATTGGTGTAAAAATTTCTACAAATTGCATGCTACTATTATTGAAATATATATCTACAGCTTTCGCATTGCAGACGACTTTTCTCTCCGAAGTTCCTCATTACTGCTTTCGAATTAAATTTAAAACTTTTTCATTTCCCTGCGTCTTTCCAGTGATCCTTTATGTACTCACTCAGAATGGCATATCCCTCTTTATACTACGTACAAACATGTTGTTTCGCAAAAATACAACAAAAAGTCCTCGGTAACCAACATAAAAAATTAACATTCAACAATTAACTAAATTGATTTTCTCGTTGCGCACACGTAGATATTCTCAAGGATACACCAACACACATACTCACAAACATGCCGAAGCCATTCGCGAAATGCACAAAAATTTTGAATGTAAAGGGGTTAAAGCATGGTGACCCCTTTTTGCTTAAAATGCAAGCTTGCTGGTTAACTATATTTCTAGCATTTGAATGTAGACTAGACATGAACTAGTCTAATAGGAATATTAACTGCTTCGAAACAAATTTAGTATATAGAATAGTCATGACACTTTCTAAGGTTTCAAGAAAGTTCAGAACGAAGGGCAATCGTGCCCACCTACCTAGAACCATGTGTTGAATCTCAGAAATTTTATCTTCATTGTATTAGGTCTATAACTAATAAAAAAGTAGCCGAATACATTCAAAGGCAAGGAAATGGGTAAAACAACACTTTCAAGGTAGATACATCGATCATCCACATTCTGTTGAACCTCTGTGAAAATAGGTAAAATCGGATGATAACCACGCCCCTTCCCATATAACGGTTGTTTTGAAAACTACTTAAGTACTATAACTCACTGAAAAAATGAGCCACAAGCATTAAATTTCATAACCAGGTTGGTAAAGAAAGGTTTTTTGGGATCTGGTGTGAAAATCGGACCAACTTTAATGGAAACCTACATCTCAGGATCTACTCTAGCGATTCAACACCCAAATTTGGTGTGTAAGGTTACCCAAACTTTCTTATTAGACACTACAAAAATGGGCTAAATCGGATGACAACCACTCCTAATTCCCGTATAACACATTTTCAAATCCCGCCTGATTCTTTCACTTTACAGTATACAAATCAAACATAAAGAAAGCTATCAGAATAAAACTTTGAACAAATAGTGCCCTCAAGGTAATTCATCTTACGTCCAATCGCACTATAATTCGTACCAAAATAGGTAAAAGCAAGTCAACACTTCCTCCACCGGTTCACTTTATACCTCATCTATAGGTCAATATATAAGGAATCCTAAAGGAATTCTAATATAAATAACAGTGTATCCTCTTTCTTAAATTAATAAAATCACGTGTGTCGAAGTTGCGTTCCGCCTTTGTTTTTGCAAGTTGTAGGAGTTAAATGTTCACACCCGAACTTTGTTCTTCTTTACTTGTTTAAAATTAAACTATAATAACTCAACGAATGCATAACTACTACAAGTGTGTTGCGAACAGAACTAATCCATTTCAGCAAAACTACTTGCTTTTCTTCTGGGTATTATATATTGCAGTGTTTATTCCATCCAAATGCTAGCGTGACTAAAGGCAATTCTGTTGTGGATCCAGTGCACTCGAGTTCTTTATAAGTCTATGCTGGTCTGGAACTTTGAAATAGTTACATATGTATATATGTGGAAATAAACAGGCAGCCATTAAAGCCTATGTCTATGCGAGCAGACAGCTTTTTCCTTACCCCTGTTCTAGGAAGGTGTGGCAGAAGTCCTCTGAGTGGCATTGTTCCTGCGGAAGAACTCCTCAATACTGAAATATTTAAAATAGGGATAGTTTATGTGAATTTATATGGAATAATGAAATGACAGTTTGTTTGAAAATTGAATATGAACACCGTTATACCGCGACATAGGAGGTTTAGAATCTTGAGAATATCAAAGATAAAATTGAATTTTCGTTATTATTAATTTCTTTACATTTATTTTAGTGTATATTTGATGTGGTTTCTGTTGTTGTTGTGTTGTGTAGGGTCGGTATGCCAAGGATTGTGCGCGCTGACTGATGTGCAACATCGCGAATTCCTGCGATTTGATGTAGAAGACAAAATGCGAAAAGTGAAACAAATGAAAAAAAAGCAATTACAACAATAATAGCAGCAATAATGCATGCAAACAACTCAACGGTGAGTGAAAATAATGTAGGTGCCCGTCGTTGGTTTACGTTTAATGCATGCAAATTTTGAATTTTTAAAATGCCGTTAATAATGCCTAATATAATAAACACATAAAAATGTTGCCACACATATGCATGTGCCTGCTCCACAGTGTATGCATAAAATTCAGATTGG